TTATTTCACCATTGATCTTAGAAGACGGTCGTATTCATCTGACAGTAGTTGTGCCACTCCAGAGAGCACCTGGCTCCTCCTATCACGATGTTTCTTTATAAGAGCCAGAAGAGACCAAAAAGAAAAGTGCCATATCTGGAGTGAATCTACCAAGTCCTCAACTTACAGCCTTGATAGAGTTAAAAATCGTCTACATGGACTTGTGGGTGATGAATTATTTTCCACCCGGCAATCCCTTTTTTTTACAGACGTAACGTCACAAGCTTTTTGCTACTCTATCACTATTTCTATGACCAATGTTATAACGAACTACATTCCTTAGTTCCACCAGAAAAGACTTTCACTAACAAGACACGTGATGCCACGTATAGTGGGGACAATTCCTTTACATTTTCTTCGTATTCCATTAAAAAGAAAGAAGTTCTATTCGTATTGCTTCTTCCCAAGAACTGCTATTCTGTGACTCCCGAGTGGCTGCTTTCCAGACCGTTGCAATTTTAACCTTTTTAACACTAATATCAATCATTGTCATTCCTACATATCATAATTTGCACTTCTTGACTCCTCTTACGTTCATAAAACCTAATTCGGCAACACTCTACATTGAGTGGCACTTGGGCATTATATTCGGCGATTAATTAATAAAGAATTGTTTTCACTTCCTTAACTTAAACTTCCACGTTTTTCTCTTGTGTATACTTAGAAGATTATTTACAAAATCAAATGTTTTAACTTTCTCAGAATATTTCATACCTAGTAACCCCATGGTGTCTTAGTGGCTCTGTTGCCTTGTTTCGGGTGAAATGAATTAAAAAAGTAGTTATTCAAGTAGTGATAAGTAATATCGATCAAGCTCATTTTATAATTGATACTTACATCAATAAGTCTACATTCCCATTCGAACGCAACAGTAAACGCAGAAATTAATTAAGAAACATAATAATAATAATAATAATAATAATAATAATAATAATAATAATGATGATGATGATGATGACGATGACAATAGTAATAATAATAATAATAATAATAAAAACTATTATTCCTTTACTAAAATTATATTCCTCTAAGTCTGCCTCCTGGATGACAGACAGATTTTTCTCTCGAGATACTGTAATCCATGTTAAAAATAGTAATTCGAATGCTGATTTTCAAGGTTGACCAGCAGCCAAACAGATTTTGGGTTGCAGTTGAAGACATTTAAAAAAAAATATATAAAACGACTTGGTGAATATGATACCTACGAATTACAAACCGAATGTAGCAATAAGTTTAGATCAAAAGAAGAATTTTCAAGATAAACGAGATCTCCAACTTGTGGCGCTATACAATCTTTCTACACTTAATTTCTTCACTATTTGACCATGTGCCAACTTGAAAAGACTCGCTGTTGTTCCACTTCTAACATCTTCATATGAAACGAAAAAATAAAAAATACGAACAGGTGCTCTTTTATGTGCTGTATCCTATCAAGACTTTGGCGTTAACAGCTCTCCATAACTTCCACCAGTTTTTCGGAGCTTGTGGAAGAGGTACCACCTTATTCACCACTTGTTTGGTGGTCGTCCTCATGCAACAAGTGGACTGCCATCATAGACACACACACACACACGCACACACACACACACACACACACACACATATATATATATATATATATATATATATATATATAGGTGACTATACTCGTCTCGAAAAACCTTCGAATTTTTGATTTGCCAATAATCAAATCAATCCCGAAGGAAAAAAGGGTTTTTAAAAAAAGAAAGAGCCAGGAACATGAAAGTCTGTCGAAAAAAATCGCACAGATACAGGTTCAAAGCCCAAAGAAAAAAAAACGACACGAGTAAACAACTAACTAAAAAGAGCTCAATACAACCGTAGAGCAGATCTAGTCAGCTTTCCCTGACGATCCGCTTAGGTGAAACCTTGGTAGGTCTGTCTGGCTCATTAGTCTGACTATATATATATATATATATATATATATATATATATATATATATATATGTATTTAGGCAGCATTTTTTTTCATTAATGCATGTTTCATTAAATAATATAGATAAGTTTTGTCATTTATTTAAGCAAATTCCTTTCATATCGTCTGATAAGCTTAATAACATTATCATTGAAAGACGAAAAAAATCACCATGTTGATAAATGTTTTAATCCTATCTAAGCTTTCGACACAACTATACTTAAACATAAAAACAATAAAGAAAAAACTAAAAATTCTTGAAGCCATATACATAAAACAGTAATGAAATCTAACCTGAACAAAGTAAACTATGAAAACTCCGCAAATATAGTTAAATGTCTCTAACTGATAACAGAAGCCATTGGTTTAAACCAATGACTTCCCATAATTAACACTTCTCGTTTTCACTCCCACGTGGTCATATGTGATGTCATAGGCGGCGGTGCGATTTTCGCTTCCAGCGGCTCATATGCACGAGTTTGTCATTGCTTGGAAATCTTCCATGCAAACAAAACAGACTATCATTGTTGCTATGTCCGTGTATCGTTTAATTTATTGTAATGTACTTGTCATCTTTGATGATGGCTTATGTAAGCGGAAAGCTTAGATAGGATGTATCAATATGGTGATTTTCTTTCGTCTTTCAATGATGATGTTATTAAGTTTATTAGACGATATGAAAGGAATTTGCTTAAAATAAATAGACAAAACTTATCTATATCATTTAATGAAACATGCATTAATATATATATATATATATATATATATATATATATATATATATATATATATATATGGTTCGAATATTCGTTTTCCTTCTAAGAGACTCCGGTTCAGATCTCATCATCGATAGAGATGTCTTCTTGATGTTATCGGACTGGAGAGGTGGGCTCAAAATACAAAACCGTTGGGAAGTGTAGAAAAGGCTCTACCTCAGGCTGACTCAAGCCTTGTAAGTGAAATTGGGTAGACGGTAGTGTTTGGAAACCGTTGTGGTTTGCGCTAACACGAAGTTACAAGTCATCGTGACCGAGGTTTTGAGTGTACTGGCCTTGTTCAAACTGATGATCAATCTATATTATGCGCTCTCCCCCAGAAACTGTAACTAAGGTCCGCTCAGCATAGTTTCAGTATAAACTACAAGTTACCTCTATGGGTGTTGAACAAATACAACTATGCCTGAGCAGGCGTCTCCAACAGGGATTGACTAGACGCCCAAGTAGATTGTTGCATATGCTTTTAAAACATCATGCAAAATGACTGAGAAATCCTAACTCTTTCGAGGAGGAAAGAAATGCAGAATGGTTAGTTAGATTTTGAATCATGAATCGCATGAAAATCTCAAGAGATATATTTTAAAAGGTCGTTTTGGTATCTCCGATCTGTGATTTGCATGTTGGGTTTATTCTTTTACTTACAACCATGCAATGTCTTTTTGCAATTTCCTTTTTGTTTACCATTTTATCTAAAGCCTCATCGTTGCTTACATGTTCGGTCCATGCTGTCCTCAGCATCATTCTGTAGAACCACATATCTGTTGCCTCAAGTCTCTTCCACATCTTTGAGGAGATTATCCAGCATTCAATGCAATATCGGAGGACAGATATCACATAGCAGTTCAGTACTCTTTTCTTTTTTCTAACGAAGTTTTTTTGTCTCTTAATACTTTGCTTAGCTTTTGGAATGCATCTTTGGCTATCCCAATGTGTCTTCGGATTTCAGTCTCGCACTTTCCGTCTTCTGTTAGAAAATTTCCCAGATATTTAAATATTGGTACTTATTGAATTTGTTATCTCCGATTTGTAAATTGCATTTTGGGCTCATCCTTTTGCTAACAACTATGCATTCTGTCTACTTGCAGTTTATCTTTAGTCCTTTCTTCTCGCTTTCCTTCACTGCATTCTCTCGCAGCTTTTGTAGTTTTCTTTCCATATCTGCTATCAACATTGTGTCATCTTCATATCTTATGTTAAGAATGAATGTGGGCGCCAATAATGAATCCTGGTAGGACTCCTAATTCTCTCAGAATCGCCTCGCTGTATAGGCTGAATAAGTCCAATGAGAAGACACATCCTTGTCTCACACCACTTTCTATCTTTTATATCTAGTACAGACGGTTTGCTGCCTGTACAGATTCTTAATTATTCTAATATCCCCTAATATGTCAGCTTGCTGAGCAGTTCCAACAAATCTTTGAATCTTTCGTTTCTTCTATTGCCTATGTCCTCTGCTTCTCTTGTATATACTATGAGTGTTAACTTCTCCGAGTCTTCTATCCTCATTATATTCAAAGGTAACTTCAGTTGTCGTTTTTCTTATTTTTATCAGTGGTTTCATTGTAGCTCCTCTTCCCCTTAAAACTTCATTCTTGTTCTCACGTTCTGTTCAAAGAGTTCTCAGAATTCTTCATCTTTGAGAGAATATTGTCCAACATTAATTGCCACAGAGGAGATTAAATATTCAATAACATGCCGTCGCTTCCCTCTGTCTTTTCTACAAATACTTTCACGGTAAATCGCTGGTTCCTAAACTGCATGAATTTAAACGTGCTACTAGGTTGGCATTTCGGTCCCACCCTTTCACTGTCGAAACGGTTAAATGTAGCTGTCTCTTCGATTCCGATAGCTTCATGTCTCGCACTTCCCGTCTGTGGAACTCCCTTCCTCTTACTTGCTTCCCTGATAGCTATAATCTCCAACTATTCAAATGCAATGTCAATCGACATCTTCAGATGCCTTGATCTAATTCCCCGTCCTTCTCTTCATCCTTTCCTCTATCACGCCTTTTAACTCTTGCTCTCCACTCTCTGCAACCCCCTGCGTGTTAGTGGCACTCCCGCCTTGCTTGCGGTGAAATGCTTTTAAAAAATATTCAACATTCTTTTGTTTTTTTTTCTCAAGGACATCTCTTAATATTTTTTTCTGTATATACATAGGAGTAAAAAGAAATATTCTCATAGATATATGCGTATGGAAGTCTGTTAGCTTGCATGCGCATACGTAATCACGTGACTTGCACCCAAATCATGCCCAGTGAGTGCACACGTAGGCTGCAACAGGAGAAGGCAGAAATGCTGTCTCCAGTCACCTATCTATGTGTCAGTTCTATTTTCAGTAGCCAACATTTACTGCCCCGAGTGTGAGCGTTCTTTATTAATAGTTAACAACCTCATCGTCAACAGGGCGGCCGCAACCCTCGCTTGTCGCCCATTGCTGTCGGCCATCTTGCGCCTATAGCCTCATTACGCATGCCAAACGAAGATCAACGCTGAACTTAGCACACACCAGATTGACTTGCGTCAAAACTAACATGGCAATGACTTCGATTTCACTTGTACCTGTGCACCCGCTTCTTTTTCTTTTCCTTCTGCTTTTCCCTCGGTCTGTTTGTTGACATTCTTTATCTCATTGTCTCTAAGGCAAGTGTCCCTTAAATTTCTTTTCTATTCTGTTCCATTCTCTTTATATTTCAATATTATATAGACTTCCTTCCTTCTTTTCTTTCTTTCTTTTTTTTCTTTCTTTCTTCCTTTCTTTCTTTCTTTCTTTTGATTCAATCATATTATCAAGACTTCATATTGTTCTTTCTGTCTTTCTTTCTTTCCTTCTTCCTTTCTTTCTTTCTTTCTTTCTTTTGATTCCATCACATTATCAAGACTTCATATTTTTCTTTCTTTCTTTCTGTCTTTCTTTCTTTCTTTCTTTTGATTTCATTACATTATTAAAACTTCATGTTCTTTCTTTCTTTCTTTCTTTCTTTCTTTCTTTCTTTTCTTTCTTTCTTTCTTTTGATTCCATCACATTATCAAGACTTCATATTGTTCTTTCTTTCTTTTTTCTTTCTTTCTTTCTTTCTTTCTTTCTTTCTTTCTTTCTTTCTTTTGATTTCATTACATTATTAAAACTTCATGTTCTTTCTTTCTTTCTTTCTTTTTTTCTTTTGATTCCATTATATTATTAAGACTTCATGTTCTTTCTTTCTTTCTTTCTTTCTTTCTTTCTTTCTTTCTTTCTTTCTTTTGATTCCATCACATTATCAAGACTTCATATTGTTCTTACTTTCTTTTTTCTTTCTTTCTTTCTTTCTTTCTTTCTTTCTTTTGATTTCGTTACATTATTAAAACTTCATGTTCTTTCTTTCTTTCTTTCTTTTTTTTTTTTGATTCCATTATATTATTAAAACTTCTGTTTCTTTCTTTCTTTTCTTTCTTTTTTTCTTTTGATTCCATCCATTATCAAGACTTATATTTTTCTTTCTTTTTTCTTTTTTTTCTTTCTTTCTTTCTTTCTTTCTTTCTTTTGATTCCATCACATTATCAAGACTTCATATTTTTCTTTCTTTCTTTCTTTCTTTCTTTCTTTCTTTCTTTCTTTCTTTCTTTTGATTCCATCACATTATTAAGACTTCATTTTCTTTCTTTCTTTCTTTCTTTTTTTCTTTCTTTCTTTCTTTCTTTCCCCGCTTATCGGTTTTCATTATATTTTAGTATCATGTCTTCATAACGATTCTTTCATTCTTTTCATTGTAACACACTATCAAGTCTTCATATTCTTTCATTCTTTCTTTCTTTCGTACATTTTTCTTCTTCTTAAGCTCCCCCCTCTCCGTTAGATGACTTAATAATATTTTAATATCGGTGATCATATTTATTTCTCTCGTATTGGAATGTCTTTTTTATGTTTGATTTCGATTTATTCCATTTTTCTTGTTTTCGCCTATTACTTTAATCTTTTCGATAAATTCCTTCATTCCTTCATTCCTTCCTTCATTCATTCATTCCTTCATTCCTTCATTCATTCATTCATTCATTCTTTCTTTCTTTCTTTCTTTGCTCTTTTCTGTTCGAAGCCGCTGGCTAATCAATCTGAGCTTTAATCATTCAGTCAAGTGAACCAAGAAGAAGCAAACGAGAGAGGAATGAAAAGTGGGTGGGGAAGTACAATGAGGAGGATAAAAAAAGCGAAAACCCGCGTTGGAGAGAATCAGGAGTGAGAATGGGTGGGGAACTGACAAAAGCGAGGGCCAATGACTCACTCTTCTGGTGCTTTTCATTTAATATTTGTTTGCGCATGCGCTCGACCTGTTCCCTAAATGCATGAATCTGAGCGTGTACGTGCGTGAAAGAGGCGAGATTATTTCCCTTGAATGTGCACACAATGATGCTTGCTGAAGATCAACAAGTATGAATTCACTCTCTCTTTCATCTATCTATCTATCTATCTATCTATCTATCTATCTATCTATCTATCTATCTGTCTCAGTCCGTATATATATTTGTTTGCTTATCTATCTATCTATCTATCTATCTATCTATCTATCTATCTATCTATCTCAGTCCGTATATATATATTTGTTTGCTTTTCTATCTATCTATCTATCTATCTATCTCAGTCCGTATATATATTTGTTTGCTTATCTATCTATCTATCTATCTAGCTATCTAGCTATCTCAGTCAGTATATATATATTTGTTTGCTTATCTATCTATCTATCTATCTATCTATCTATCTATCTATCTATCTATCTATCTATCTCAGTCCGTATATATATTTGTTTGCTTATCTATCTATCTATCTATCTATCTATCTATCTATCTATCTATCTATCTATCTCAGTCCGTATATATATATTTGTTTGCTTATCTATCTATCTATCTATCTATCTATCTATCTATCTATCTATCTATTCATCTCAGTCCGTATATATATTTGTTTGCTTATTCTATCTATTCATCTATCTATCTATCTATCTATCTATCTATCTCAGTCCGTATATATATATTTGTTTGCTTATCTATCTATCTATCTAGCTATCTATCTATCTCAGTCCGTATATATATTTGTCTGCCTATCTATCTATCTATCTATCTATCTATCTATCTATCTATCTATCTATCTACACAGACATATATACGTATTTAAGCAGCAGGTGTTCTTTAAGGCAAAACACTATTAAAAACAAAAGATATTTTGTGTCGGTTAATTTTAATGATTGACTTTTTTTTTTTAAATTACGAATAATCCTTCTCAGACCAGCAGAGAATTCCATCAGAGATTGTCCAAACATTATTTCGGAAGAAAAATAATATGGTTCTAGCTTTCGTTTATCTTAAATCATCATCAAGGTAGGTAAAGAGAGTGTTGTCACAGGATACGGGCTCTTTAAATGTAATTATTTTTTATTTATTGATAGTTGTTTTAATTGTTTAAGTGTTGCTTCAAGGATCATAAGTCTTTTTTGATTTTGCTATTATTTTTGTATTGTTTGTGAGTTAGCTCTCTAATGTTATATGATCCACATGCTGCTTATTAATGTATTGTCTGATGGCACTATGGTCTGGTCGGTTGCAAGTGAGTCTCCGTGAGAATGTCGTTGTAGTATATCCTATATAAAACTTTTTTTTTTTTAATTTAAAGAGAAATAATAGTCTCCGAGTGGGCAAGTATATTCATACACGACATTGCTCTTTTGTAAGTGTGGTCACACCTCACTTAACAAAAGTTCCAACCAGTTGGTCGCTAAGTGAGAAGTTGTATACGACATATATTTTAATGTCCGTTTTGCACCATTTTAACGCTTTTTTTTTTTTTTTATTCGATGCAATAGTGTACGGAACAGTGAATATAATAATGAAGTTTGAAAACCAGGTCTCTAATCTGCACGTTACTATGATTTGCATACTGTAAATACAGTACAAGGAAATCGTTATTAATTTTTCACTTTATTTTTTCTATGTACCATGTCTCTTTTTTGAAGCATTTCATCCCAAGCATGCCACTAGCACACAGTGGGTTACTGGGAGTGAAAGGGAGAGAAAAGAGTAGGTGTAGGGGATAAAGGGAAAGAAAAAAAAGGACAGGGATCTAGGCAACAGAAGATGGCGATTGACATTGCATTTAAATTTTTGAAGATTGTAATTATCATGGAAGAATGTGAGAGGAAAGGAGTTCCTATGTCGAGAAGTGCGAGGAAAGAAACTGTTGGAGTAGAAGATGCAGTTACATTTAACAATTTCAACAGTAAATGGTTGGGACCTAGATACCAACCAAGTAGCACGCTTAAATTCATGCAGTCGGGGCACTAGGGAAAAAAAAGCTCGTCAGAGCAGTAGCCATGAAAAATTTGTAGAAAAGACAGGGCCACATTAAGTCTGTGAGAGAATGTCTGAAGTCGAGAAGCCAATTCATAACCTTCAAAACAATTCATAAGCCAATTCATTGCATATCCATATTTGGATTTTGTCGAGAACCTCGAGATGAACGGCACCAGATTAGATATGGCAACAGTATTCAATTCAAGGACGAATGGTAGATTTTTAGATGCGTAAGATGAACGCTGACGAGAAATACCTTTTGGCACGACACAGTAAACCAACTTTCCTTGCAGTAGATGCAACTATTGATTCAATGTAGTTGTTCCACTTCAAGTCAGTTTAAAACGTGAGGCCAAAAAGGCGCAGTGAGACGTGCTGGTGGAGACGAGCATCAACCATGCTGATGTGGGGGGGGGGGCAGGGATGTTAGGAAGTTGCCGATCATCGCTCTCCACAATTTCCTGTGAATTGTCTTTTTGTGATCTCTCCTAAATCCTGTTCTGCCAACCGTTTACACAAGCTTGCTAGGTCGTTTATCTTTTTTTTCTCTGTTTCTCTTTCCTTTAATATGTCCTGTAAGTGTCAAATTTTCTAAGCCCTCTTTTCTCATTATATACGCTAGGAATTTCAGGTGTTTTTCAATGTTTTTTTTTTCATTTCCTCTCTATTCTGTAGACTACATTGGTTTACTTAAATATAATAAAATAACATTTTATTTATTTTCCATTTTATTTATGATATTGATTTATTTGGAAGAAACAGAGAGTAAACATAATCATTATTTTCGGACAGCTGACTGTTTATCGAAAGAAATATCTGAATATCTACCGGACGCACAAGCTAATCAAATTGCAGGTCGGGAACACTAGAATCAAGTAGACGCCGAAGTTTAAATATCTGGGAAGCGTCTTGACAGAGGACGGTATCTGCGACAATGAGATCCGTAGACGTATCGGGAGGGCCAAGGACACATTCGAAAAGCTGGGAAGAGTATTACGAGACAGGAGGTATCAAAGAAAAGAATACAGAGCTGTTACGTGACATCTGTCCTTCTTTACGACAGTGAATGCTGGACGATTTCCTCAAAGATAAAGAAGAGACTCGAGCCGACGGAGATGTAGTTCTACAGAAGGATGCTAAGGATATCATGGACCGTACGTGTGAGCAGCGATAAGGTCTTAGAGAGCATGCAAACAAGGAGCAGGCTTACACTTAACACCAGAATGAGGCAGCTGAAGTTCTTGTGACACATAATGAGGAAGAAGGGCCTGGAGAATCTGATACTCACAGGTCGAATAGAGGGGAAAGAGAGAAAATGCAAAACAACGCGTGACATACCTAGCGGGTTTAAGTGGATGGCAGGACGTGGTCTGGGGGAGGTGGCAGAGGGAAGGAACTTGTTGAGAGCTACAAGGGTAGGAGGGAGGTGGAGAGCCATGATCGCCTACGTCCTGAAAGGACATGGCCAATAACAAGAAAGAAAGAATTTTACACTATTTACATTATTCGGACTATTGTCCTAATCTTTGTCGCCATATTGCAACGTTTCGGACGTTGGACGCCCCGACCTTCTCCAGGTGGTTCGAACTGAACCCTTTATTTCGCTTACTGGGGTAGACTGCTTTAGTTCCACGTGTCATGTTTTAATGGATATCAGTTATCTCCTGTTAATTCCCCTCTCCAAGTTCTCCACTGCCTTAACCGGGTATTGAACTCACAACTCTTTGGGTCCTGACCCTGAATCTAACTAACGACTTTATCCACTGTGCCATGTGTCTCCTAGGAGACAATAGCCTGAATAATGTAAATAGTGTATATAATACTTCATCTCAGAAATATAGACAGATAAGAAAGAATTTTATCGCAGGAAATGATACTTCTTAAACAATTCGACATCTCTTGGACTGACGGTCGCGATTAATGATGGCATCCATTCCAATATTCTTATTATTATTTCCTATATTCAAAGAAGGAATCGTTCTTCAGCTCTTAACTATTTCTGCCAGTCACTCAACAAACGGACATGTTTATTTATATTTTTTCTAGGCCATTAAAAATATCGGTACACTAACATTAGTTAGTACCTTTTTTTATTCGTAAACCACAGACTTTTCATCTTTATCGTGGAATTCTTTTTAATGTCATGTCAAGTTGTAAGCAATCTATTGTGGATTCCGTGAATGGAATCCTGCACAAATAAAGAAACAACGCCAGTAATTGAGACAGAAAAATAAGTGTATTAACCGTAAGAATACAGACTTGAAGTGAAGATTAGTAGTCCAGGGATGCGGGTTAGTAGAAAGTATATGTACAAGTCTCTGTAAGTAAAGCCGTAATCATCTCTCTTTCTCTCTCTGGACTCTTGAATAACTCTCTGAGAACACCCTGTGTCTGTCTCCGTATCTCTCAACGTATCTCAACGTATCTCGATATTTACCATCCCAGCCACGAGGAATATATGTGGCACAAGGCCGAGTTTAAAGTGGGTTTCTCCGGGCCCGTAGGCTCGGCCAAAAATATCTTTGAACCCGCCTAGACGGGTTCAGGGCCTGTTCCTTTTCCGACGAAACTTTTGTCCTTCGGCAAAGCTTCGTCCTGGTTCCTCCTGCCAAAGCAGAGAGTTCGACAGACGTCGAGACTGTATCGCGACGTAACTCAACTGCAGGTAGTCTCTCTGTCAGTATAAGTATAATTTGGACGAGTCCATCTTATGTAAAAAGGGGTGAGCCCAACAACACAATCATAACTTTCCACAGATGCCGTTTCTTTATAATCTGTGAACTTTCATGTATTACTGGCATCTGCTCTTCTCTTCGTCTGTTATATAGTAAAGTTCTTCGATTGTAATTCTGAGTCCGCGTGGTGGGAAGAATCGAGGCCTTTTTTTCTAAGACCTACAGGCACGAAGTAATTTTGTGAAAGCGGTTGTATACAGTTGATAGGTTATGCGTTTCGAAACGGTTCGGTGCCATGGTTGTTATCCATATGAATGTCTTCAAGAAACTTCAGAAATGATATTCCCAGTATGTTGAGACTTGGGTAGAATATTTAGATTTTTACGGTGTTCAGGTCGTTCTCCGTCGAGCCAGGAAATTATCAGCTCATGTGCTTTTTTTTTTTTTTTTTTTTTTTTTAGCGCCATATCAGCTCCTTAGGGTTCATTTAATGCCGGAATTTAGTTGGGACGGGGGGAATTAGTAATTTCTTTTACAAAAATGTATTGTTGGTAATATTTTTTTTCAAAAATGTAATGCTGGTAATTTTTTTACTATGAAGATGTATTGCTGGTATTACTATAAAAATGTATTTTTATACTTTCATAGCGTTTTGACACGGTTGAGTAATGGATAGCGGCTCGGACTGAGGAATCGGAGAGCCGAGTTCAAATTCCAGTTGAATCCATTACATTCACTTACTTAGGTATGAATCCTCTTCTTCTCCCACTCGCCAGCTATGGTTAAATAGCAGGACAGGTCGGGTTCTATAGCCTTGGATGGCAAATTGTCTACCGCAGAAAGAAATGGAAACCTACTGCGGGAAAAAATCTGCCTCGTCAGTCATTTATCGAAAGATACATGATCGCCTAAGTGTGTATCACGCACGGCACATAACTGAGTGTTTTGACCCCAGTTTGGGGGTTACTATTTATTTGCCCATATTTGAGACCATAACCGCTGCTGGACCTGGGAACAACAGCAATTAAGAGGTGGTTCCAAGTTTCTCAAAACCTGAGGCTTTGCTGCCGGATGTAGTTTATCGTCATACCCAGGCAGAGCACTTGAGGTAATGGTCTGATATATCAGAATGTTAACCATTGCTC